AGATGGAAGATGGTTTTCTTACTGACTACATGATTGTTTATATTGAGAAGGAGATTGCACGAAGATTTACAACTGATATGATAATTGATGATTTTTACTTCATGAAACAACGACGGGCACAACTTAAGAAATAAAGGTACATACTTGAATAACTTGATCTTGCAATATGTTCGATATATTTATCAAATGTAAATATGAGAAATAATTTTTATTAAATTATGTTAATTATTATCTAGTTTTGTCAGATAATATGCTTTTGATACTTTAATTTTCATTTATTATAAATTATATATTATTTATTCTCGGCCCCCCAGTATTGAAATCCTGGCTCCGTCCCTGTGTTCAACTTACCATCAACCAAAACACTCTAATGATCTATTGATAGTGGCCACTACAAAAAAAAATAACCCCATGGGTTGGCGTGTTATTCATAAGTCGTATTATCCATAAGTCAAAAGTTAATGAATGAAATAATTTACATAGAAATTTTCGTATATATATATTAAATGAGAAACTTTTAAAATGAGAAAATATATTTTTTTAATTGAGATTAAAAGTTAATTATAATTTTTTTATTAAATAGTTATTGTCTTCACCTTCGTTACTATATATTATGGTCATTTCTCTACTACAACCATTATCACACTATAAAAAAATTATCATATAGTGACACACACATTATAGTGACATTATACATGTTATTAAAAATTATTTTTATCCACACAATAAATATAATATATGTTGGTATATTGTTAAAAAATATGGATATAGACAATAGTGACACATAAAATATGTTGTTAAATCTCATTCAAAATCAACACTAAAATTATGTGTAACTGTATGTCAAATAGATATATACCTACAGATATTATACCTATAGTGACATTTTTTGTATGTTACTATATGTAACATTTCTTGTAGAGTCATTAAAGATATATATATATATATATATATACGATGGAGAAAAACCAAGTGTGGGAGCTAGTATCCTTACCGAAATCAAAGAAGGCCATTAGTGTGAGATGGGTCTTTAAGATCAAAACTGATCCAGGAGGTAAGATTGTAAAGTATAAAGCGAGGTTGGTCGTAAGGGGATTCCTTCAAAGGCCCGATATTGACTACAAAGAAGTGTTTGCTCCTGTTGCTCGAATTGAGACGATAAGAACAGTTGTCGCTATTGCAAGCTCAAGAGGATGGACATTGCATCAGCTTGACATTAAATCAGCATTTCTAAATGGGCCCCTTGAAGAGGAGGTGTATGTGTTGCAACCTCCTGGGTTTATAATAGAAGGACAAGAGGAGAAGGTGTTTAAGTCGAAGAAAGCTCTCTACGGTCTCAAACAGGCGCCGAGAGCCTGGAATAAAAGAATCGACAACTACATGATAAAACTTGGTTTTGTCAAGTGTACATGTGAGTTTGGAGTTTATGTTCGAGAGAAACGAAGCTTGATTATAATTTGTCTGTATGTTGATGATCTTTTGATTACTGGAAATCATGAAGGAGATATTGTCAATCTTAAGAAGGAGTTGATGCTTGAATTCGAGATGACTGACTTGGGACCCTTGTCTTATTTCTTGGGTTTCGAATTTACAAAAGTAACAAGAGGAATAGTGATGCATCAACGTCGATATGCAACAGAAGTGTTGAAGAGGTTCAACATGCTAAATTGTAATTCAGCAATCACTCCATCAGAAGTGGGTCTGATTCTAGAGAAGGATGGGAGTGATGAATATGTCGACGAAACAGAGTATAAGCAGATTGTTGGTTCATTACGTTATCTCTGTCACACAAGACCTGATATCGAGTTTTCTGTTGGGCTGATATCAAGGTACATGCAGAATCCTAGAGTATCTCATCTTCTTGCTGCCAAAAGGATTTTGAGATATATCAAGGGAACAATTGCGATTGGTATTTTGTTTCCGAATAATAATAAATCAAAGGAGGAGGTTGAAGTCATTGGCTACACTGATGCAGACTGGGGAGGTGACAAAGACGATCGAAAGAGTACTGCAGGATTTGTATTCTTCGTTGAAGGAGCTCCGATATCGTGGAGTTCAAAGAAGGAACCGATGGTGGCTTTGTCTACTTGTGAAGCTGAGTACATAGCCGCTGCTATGTGTGCTTGCCAAGCAGCTTGGCTGGACAAACTGCTGATAGAAATGAGTGAAAACAATAAGTAAAAAAATATAGTAGAAATTTAGTTATTTGTTTAAGAGAAACAGATGGAAAATAATATTATATATGTTTGGTAAGAAAAAAAAAAGAAATAAAGTATATGATAATATAAAAAAAAAGAGAAATAAACAAAAATAAAAAAGAAAGAAAAATTATAAAAATCATTTTAATTATTATTTAATTAATTTTTTTTATCTTAATAATATTAAGTTGAAAAATTAAAATATAGCCAGTCGATTGTGTTGAATATGTGTAGCATATTCAATTGATTAAACAAAAGTAATTATTCGATAAAAAAAAACTAACCAAAAAACATTCAATTTAAAAAAGTAGGAAGCAATAATCAACTATCTTTTTTACATATACATTTTACGTTCTAACAACTGGTATCCAGAGCTGTGGTTTGAAAGAAGTCCCCCTGCAACCAAGAAAGGCTTGAGACTTGAAGGGATTATTGTTGCAATGGCAACAATATCTGGTTCCATTCCCACGAATCTTCCAATTCTCACGACAAAGAACTATGATAATTGGAAGATACAGATTCGAGTTATCATGAGATTTCAAGGTGTATGGAATTTCGTTGAACAAGGCTATGAGCACGTCGGATCAACTGGGACAGAGGCACAAAAGGCTGCGGATTTTAATTTATTTAAGAAAAATCTTTCAAAATATGCTTTATGTCGCATTTGTTATTGGGTCGCCTTTAGATAGTGATGATGAATATCACAGCAGCAATGTTGATAATAATTGTAATTTTAAGTGAGTCTTTTAATTTATTTTATTCATTTTAATTTAAGAATTCAGATTTAATCTTTTACACGATTTTATAACTAAGATTTATATTTATATATGATCATATAAATCTTATTTATATAAATGATTAAAATT